TTCTTTGCGATGACAGGCTTTATGAGCCCTGTACCCCGTGTCGTGCTGTCACGGTAATAACCAGGAGCTCACTCGTCCCTTCTGGGCAATAGCCGCATGTTCTAGACGAGATCAGCTGGCAGGGACAGCCGTTCTTTCGAAGGGGATTGGAAAAGAAATCCGTTTTTGTTCAAAAGTACAAGGACGGGGCCCCAAGCTAGCGCCCCCTCCCCCAGGCCTTACAGTACCTGCCCAGGCGTTGACTCCCGGCCCCCCGCCCTCCCCGTGCATACGCCTTACAGTCTTGTTCTCTGCCTGCCTTTACCTCTCCTGCTGCCACTTGCAGGAGCTGACATGGACGTGTGCCTTACAAACTACGGTCACTGTAACTACGTGTCCGGGAAACACGCCTGCATATTCTACGATGAGGTGAGGGATGGGGATGGGGTGGGAGGGAGCTCTCCCCACCTGAGGCCTCTCCTAGGCACTGGGGTTTTTTGTTCAGTGTCCTGGGTGAGGGGAAGGGGGGCGGGGAGGTCTTCTCCTCTTCTTCCCTCCCTGTCATTTCTGGAGGAGAAGAGTCTCGGTGTGAAAGGGCGTCTTACCGCGGCTACCGCTCCCTAGGAGCAGGGCTGCCATTTCTCCTGAGGTTGGTCACAGGCTCAGCAGGGGAAGCCCGCCTGAAAGCAGGGCAGGGGACCAGCATAGAAGGAAGCCAAGCTCTCTGTGCCAGTGAATAGCATTTCAAGAGGAGCCAGTGCCGAGGAGGCAGAGGAAAGGAGCGGTGGGAGAGCAAGGGTGGGGAGTGGGGGGCACTGGGAAGGAAGGCTTCCCTGAGGAGGTGAGTCTTGAGCCCTGTTCTAAAGAGACAGGGAAGCGGGGCTTGACTGGGGAAGAAAGAGAGCTCCCCAGGTAGAGCAGCACAGCCTTCTCCATGTGTCCTCTCTCCCCTTAGCCCCAGGCCCCACGCAGCAGACCACACATCTTATCTTCCCTCCTCCTCCTCAGAATACCAAACATTATGAGCTGTTAAACTACAGTGAGCACGGGACAACGGTGGACAATGTGCTGTATTCCTGTGACTTCTCTGAGAAGACCCCGCCAACCCCCCCAAGCAGTATTGTTGCCAAAGTGCAGAGTGTCATCAGTAAGTCGGACCCTGTGGCCCCAAAGCCGGCCTTTTTTGGACATTGTGTTAAGACCGCCGTCAGGGTGGCTCTGGCTTGCTGCCGATGACCGGCTCTCTTGCCTTCCCGGTCCCATCGGCCAAGCTCTCCTCGCTTGGGGGCCCAGGGAGAGCCACCGAGAAGCCAGTCCTGTGCGTGCGCCCACCTGCTTGGGGACTTCAGGCTCCCCTGGCCCTTTCCCGGTGTCCCGCAGCCATGGCAGACAGCCCCGGGTGGGTTGGCCGCTTCACTGTTCTCTCCCGGTGACCACGCTCCTTCTTCCCAGGGCGCCGCCGGCACCGGAAGCAGGGTGAAGAGCCAAGTGAGGAGGCAGCCATGATGAGCTCCCAGGCCCAGGGCCCACAGCGGAGACCCTGCAACTGCAAAGCCAGCAGCTCAAGCTTGATCGGGGGCAGTGGGGCCGGCTGGGAGGGCACCGCCTTACTGCACCACGGCAGCTACATCAAGCTGGGCTGCCTGCAGTTTGTCTTCAGCATCACCGAGTTCGCGACCAGACAGCCCCGAGGCGATGCTGGCCTGCTGCAGGACGGGGTCTTGGCCGAGAAGCTGTCTCTCAAGCCCCACCAGGGCCCCGTGCTGCGCTCCAACTCCGTTCCCTAGGACCGGCGGCTGCCCCGTCACGTGACCGCCTGGCCGCCCAACCCAAGACTCCTGCAATGCAAAAATGTACACAAACCAAGCCCGGGTTTTTTTCTATACTCCACCAGAAACCCTTCAACTACAATCTTTGCATGAAATGAAGAAAACCTTTTGACTGTTTTTTAAAAATCCTTTTTCTTTTCTCAAGTTCTAGGGGGCATTTGCACATATATTTGTACTCAACATTTCATGGGAAAGCGGCAGACCCGAGCTGAGGAACAGCGTGGGCAGGGAGGGGAAGGCCGATGGTCTGGACACTTCCTCCAACACAAGACCGTTCCCCACCCACCTCCTGCTCCCTCCCCCTCGCCCGCCGTTGTAAAATAATCAGAAACTTGTTCTATTTTGTGGCAGTGACAATAGTTTTATATTAAAAGAAAAAATACAGTTTTCATACAGCAAAATCTATACAATATCATTGTTTTATTTAATATAAAGATCGCTACCCACCCTACTTCGTGGTCCCCACCCTCCAAGTTACTTTCCCTTTCTGCAGCGGTTGCACGACAGCTAGCTACTGTGTATTCGGGACAAATGAGAAATGAATTCTTCTTCTGGCTGTCCATCTATTTTATTTCAAATAAGGAAAAGTGTATTTGGATTTTGTGTAAATACATCTAGTGATGACATTTTTTCAATGTTTTTAAAACCTGTACAGTACTACATGTGGTAGAGCGTTTTCTTCAAATTGTCTATTGTAGCAAAAACGTTTTTGTCGTAAACCTGTTTCGTCTCCTTTTTTTGTTCTCTTGCCACTCTCTCCTGTTCCTCCCACCCCACCCCAAGTAGTACCAATGTACATAGTAATTGTAATGTTTTAGACTTTACAGAAACTTTCCTGTATTCTGTATATAAAAAAACAAAAATACTTCAAATTATGTTTTCTGCCTGTCTGTCCTACCTGTCATCACCCTTAGAGGGGACCCTCCCCAAGATCCTGGTCGCAGTCTCATTGAACTAGTCTCATTCCCAGACACTCAGTCCCCAAGGGAAGGCAGGAGAGCGGAGCTCTGGGAGAAAAGTGAGCCCAAGGTGGATGTGGGAAAGTGGAGGGCTAGGGGTGCATTGGCGGGGTCGGGCCAGGGGTGGGGTGGGGCTCTTGTCTGGCTTTATGGGTGACTTGAGGGAATCATTTGACATGACCGCATACTGCAAGAATCCGAGAGTGCAGGCCCTCGCTCTTCCCTGCTGACTCCCAAACCAAGATAATAAAACAGGAGCTGTCTTTGAGACCTCTGCATTCTGGCCTAGAAACTTTAACCTCAGGAGTTGGGGCTGCTTTTAGTTGCAGTTGTTTGCTATCATTTGATTCATCAATCCTGGGAGAAGCCAACACCTGGCTCTGTCCTTCTGCTGTCAGCCTGAGCGGGGCAGGCAGCAACTCCTGCAAGTATCACTTGAGTTCCTCCTCTGTGCATGGCCTTTGCTGGGACTTTGGGCTTGGTCTACAGAACTTGCTGTGAGCAATCAGCTAGACAGATACGACTCCTGCCTCTCGGAGCCTAGAATCTAGTGTGGAGCCATCTGTCAGTTCAAGCATCTCTGGGAGGCACCATGAAGAAAAAGGAGAGATCCGATCTCTAGACCAGTGGAGCCACAGCTTACATGACTAGCAATCCTAACTTCCCTACAATTGCAGCTTCTCATCAGAAGAGGAATCTACTGCATCACCTTAATTCTGAGGCCGAGAAGCCTCTCATCAAACCAAGCTCCCATCCTTTCCACCTCTCAGACCTGACGTGGAAACTTTCTCTGGAAGTTTTTCCTGAAGACAAGTCTTCAACTCCTTAGAGATCACCTGTGTGTCTATCCCAGCAGTGTTCGAGGACGTGGTACCTGTTGGCATGTCGGGAATTTGCCTTGAGGATGGAGAATGCACCCATTTGTTTCATTAATATTCCATTCCCAGCTTCATCCCACAGCGTCTACAACTGAACCCCAAACCCGTGGTGCAGCCAAGTAGGAAACTTCTCTCCTCCCTGAGTCGGGTCTGTCTCTGGCTTCCACCTCCCGCCCGGCTTTATCTCCACCACTCTGCTCCCCCGGCCCTGATGGGCAGAAACGTAACGTTCTGCTCAGTATTCCCACGGCTAACCACACTGCTGGGCACACTGTGTCAGACAGGGGGTGCTCAGTTGTAAAGGTTTTCTCAGGCAAGTCCTTGTCCTGGCAAGTCACCTGGCCAGCAGTCCCCTTACCCGTGCCTCCCTAGCTGTCCCCACCAACCTTGCCATCATAGTCACTTCTTCCATTGAGTCATGGAGCTTCTTTACCTGTTTCTACCACCTGTGAGGACCATCCCAGAGAAATTTCCTCCCGGAAGTCAGACAACAGATTTTGTATTTTATTCTCTTCTTGCTTCCCTTCAGAAATGTAGGGGATGGGGGGGTGGGGGATGAGCAAAGGCAGAGAGATAGAGGCAGCTAATGAATGAGTGAATCCTAACAGCCCTGAACGGATGGTGCCACCCTGACCGCTGCGTCATCTCTGACTTTTATAGGAAGAACAAGGAAGAATTCTAGAAGCTGAGGGCTGGAAGTGAGGATAAGGAATCGAAGGACTTGTTTATGGGGGGCAAGGCATCCAGGACCGGACTCACTCTCTCTCTCAGACATAACAGCCTTCATGTACACGCAGCTCTCCAGAAGGGAAGGGCTCTGCTAAACACCGATGACACCCAGAGGTCTCACACACACCTTGTGAGCCCTTCCTGCGAGGCCTCAGCTACGGGGCATGCGCACAAAGGACAGCGACACAGGGAGACGTTCGTTCGAGCGCACACGTTGACAGAGACCACAGATGCACGCACACACCTGGAGGGGCTCTTGGCGCACATAGGCACAAACCTGTAAAAGGTGGTCACGCAGGCACCCACACCTACAGGGTACTTCCTGGGCCTGCAAGTACACACACACCTCCAAGGTGCTCACACACAGGCTCCAGAGGCACACACACAACCTGAAGGGCAATCCCAGGGCCCATGGGCACATTACACAGAGTCATTCACACACTCAGAGTAGGTGTGAATGCGCACCAACACGCATCTGGAAGGAGTTCACGCAAGCACACACCTAGAGGGCGCTGCCAGGGCCCAAATGCACACGCGCCCCTAGAAGGTATTCCACAAGCACACACCCAGAGGACGAAGACGCATGCCTAGGGGGCGCTCGCAGGGCCCACGCTCACGCGCACGCACACACACCCCTGCCCTGCCTCTCGCCCGCCTCCGCCTCCGCCTCCGCCTTCAGGGAGGCCCGAGCGGGTGCGGGGTGGCTCGGCAGCCGCCGGGCGGGCGGCGATCCAGGGAGGTGCGGGGCCCGTGCGGGGGCCCGGCGGCGCGGCCGCCATGGAGGCGCTGCTGCTGGGCGCGGGGTTGCTGCTGGGCGCCTACGTGCTTGTCTATTACAACCTGGTGAAGGCCCCGCCCTGCGGCGGCATAGCCAGCCTGCGCGGCCGCACGGCCGTGGTCACCGGTGAGTGCCAGAGGCCCGGCGGGCGGCGGGGTGGCGGGGAGGCCGGGCGGCGGGGTCAGCGGCCCACGGGGCTCAGCGCGGCTACCGCCCGCCCACCGCAGGCGCCAACAGCGGCATCGGGAAGATGACGGCGCTGGAGCTGGCGCGCCGGGGAGCGCGCGTGGTGCTGGCCTGTCGGAGCCGGGAGCGCGGTGAGGCGGCCGCCTTCGACCTCCGCCAGGTGAGGTGGGGGGAGGCCGGAGACGGTGAGAGGGTGAGCGGAAAACAGACACACCGGGACACAGAGGGGCGAACAGAGCGGCTTCCTTAACTGGGCGTTAAGCGCAGAGAAGAGGGTCCGCGGGTGCTCTGGCCATACAGGGGAGGGGCCCCAGGCGCAAGCTAGGAAGTGGGCTTTCCAAAAGAAGTGATCGTTGTTTTAAGACGTTTAAGGATCGGTAAAACTTACATTAATGAAAGACGGTAGGGAAGGGAACAGCAGAGGGAACAGCACATGCAAAGGCCCTGAGGCGAGACAGCTGAATCGATTTTTTTAAAAAACTGAAAGCAGGGCGCCTGGGTGGCTCAGTTGGTTAAGCGACTGCCTTCGGCTCAGGTCATGATCCTGGAGTCCCGGGATGGAGTCCCACATCGGGCTCCCTGCTCAGCAGGGGGTCTGCTTCTCCCTCTGCCCTCTTCCCTCTCGTGCTCTCTGTCTCTCATTCTCTCTCTCTCAAATAAATAAAATCTTTAAAAAAAAAAAAAAAACTGAAAGCAAAGGTTTATTGAGGCTGGGTGGAGCACAAAATATGGGGTAAAGAGGCAAAATGAAAAGGCTGGAAGCTCTGAACCAGGGCTACATTCTGGAGGCCCTTATAGACCCTATTGAGGAACTCAGATTTTATAGGATGAGCAGTGGAGATCCCATGAAGGGTCCTCAGCAGAGTGTGGACTGTCAGAATAGCCTTCTGGGAGGAACCCCTCAATGGCTGTACATGCCTGGACTGGAGGTGGGGGGTGGGGGTGAGAGTGGGTGAGGGGAGACCAATGAGAAAGAAGTCTGTTGTAGATTTTAGGATAAGCAATAATGGGCAGAGGGAATGATAATCACAATAGCAAGTACTACCTACACAGTGCTGACTGGGTGCCAGGCACTATTCTATGTATTTTACATATATTACCTCATTGAATCCTCACAACAACTCCATGAGATAGGTATTACATTGTTCCCATTTTACAGGGAGAAAACTGAGCCCCAGAGAGATTAATGTCACAGTTGTCCAACGTCACACTCTAATAAAAGACAAAGTCAAGATTTGCATCCAGAGTCCACATACTTGTCCACTACATTCTAATGCACAGGGGCAGATCTTAGCAAAAGTAGGAGAGGGACTCTCAAAATTTGGTACCTGGGGAGAGGGAAGAGGAGAGAGGTGCCTGGTGACGAGCCCAGCCCTTCCTGCCCCTACAGGAGAGTGGGAACAATGAGGTCATCTTCATGGCCTTGGACTTGGCCAGTCTGGCCTCCGTGCGGGCCTTTGCTACTGCCTTCCTGAGCTCTGAGCCACGGCTGGACATCCTCATCCACAATGCCGGTGAGGGGCAGCAGGCCCTGCGGGGGGTGGCGGGTGGGCCACTGTCCCCTCCAGCCAGGTCTTGCCAAGGGCCAGTGGATGCGTGGGAAGGATGCCCCCTACCACTCTCTCGCAGATGGGGACACCACGGCCTTTGGGGATCCCTGTGGAGCAGTTGCTCATATCGAGCCCCTGCCCCAGGGATCAGTTCCTGTGGCCGGACCCACAAGCCATTTAACCTGCTGCTACGAGTGAACCACATTGGCCCCTTCCTGCTGACACACCTGCTGCTGCCCCGGCTGAAGACCTGCGCCCCTAGCCGCGTGGTGGTGGTATCCTCAGCTGCTCACCGGCGAGGGCGCCTCGACTTCACACGCCTGGACCGCCCAGTGGTGGGCTGGCGGCAGGAGCTACGGGCATATGCCGACAGTAAGCTGGCCAACGTGTTGTTTGCCAGGGAGCTCGCCACTCAGCTCGAGGGTACGGGTATCACCTGCTATGCAGCCCACCCAGGTGAGGCCTGGCTCTCTGCTCTGCTCTGCTTTGAGTCCCCCGCTCCCATCCGCGACCCATCCTGTGCACCCCCAGCCTCTCATTGAGCCCCAGAATCGCAGAACAGGAAGGAAGCACCGTACAAGGAGAGACCTGTTCCTTGCTGATCTTGGAAGGAGGCTCTCCTTGTCTAGGTTCTTCCTCTCACACCACTAGCCTGGATGCTGACTCCTGGATAGGGTATGGTAATGAATAAAGCCCAGGTTCTCCCCCCCAGGGAGCCACCCATATGACTGAACTCACTATAATATGAGGATAATGATGATGATGGCTAATAATTACTTATTCATTCGAAAAGCATTTACTGAGTACCTGTTATGTACCAGGCATTAATCTTGGTGCTGGGAATATAGCAGTGAACAAAACAAAGACCCTTTCCTTGTAGAATTTACATTCTAGTTTAAGGGAAGGGGAGATTGCTAATAAATATATACAGTGACAGGTGGCGATAAAATGCTATGGGAAAGATAAAGCAGAGTGAGGGGGCTTGAAATGACAGGAGGTGCTGTTTTTCTGTGGCAGTCAAGGAAGGTGTATCTGAACAGGTGACATAGGCCTGAAGGAGATGAGAGAATGAGCCATGTGGTTTTCTGGGGAGAAGAGTGTGAAGAACAGAGCAGATAGCAAGTGCAGAGGCCCTGAGGCAGAAGTCCCTGGTGTGCTTGAGAAAGAACAGGGAGCCCCACAAGTCTGGAACAGAGTGAGAGAAGGAGAGTGGCAAGAGATGAGGTACAGAAATGGGCTGGGTCATCTAGGGTCTAGAAGTCCACTGTAAGCATTTTAGCTTTTAGTCTGAGTGAGTTAACTGATGAATAAGGCCCATCTCTGCCTTATGGAACAGATTATAGGATAACAAGATCTGTCCTACCCATATTACCATACTGCATTTTTTTAAGATTTTATTTTTAAGTAATCTCTACACCCAGCGTGGGGCTCAAACTCACAACCTGGAGCTTGAGAGTCATATACACCAACGACCAAGCCAGACGCCCACCATACTGCACTTTAGATAGTCATTGCCTAAGGCTCACTAATTATAACAGTGACAGTAATAATCACAACTAACATTTATAAGCCTTTATTACGCTCCCCATCTCTAATGTCCAAAACAGTGGCTGGGCTACCATAGACGTTAATACATGTTTGCTGGTTGAACAAAGGAATAGGACTTGAGCTAGAAGAAAAGAGGTCCCCTCAGGCAGGGGATGCAACATGAGGGAAAATCTGGGACACGGGGATGTACAGGAACTCAGATGGAGAGGAGGAAGCTTGCTGTTGAAATGAGTGAGGTCTCCTTGTGGGGACCCTGAATGCCCACTCAATACTATCCTGGTCTCTCTGGAACTGGACTCTGTTCCCCACTCCGTTCTAGCCCTGTGTTGTTGCTCTGCCCCTGGGCCCTCGCCCAGCATCCTCACTCCTTCCTTTCTTCCTGTCCACAGGGCCTGTGAACTCGGAGCTGTTCCTGCGCCACGTTCCTGGATGGCTGTGCCCACTTTTGCGCCCACTAGCTTGGCTTGTGCTGCGGGCCCCAAGAGGGGGTGCCCAGACACCCCTGTACTGCGCTCTACAGGAGGGCATTGAGCCCCTCAGTGGGAGATATTTTGCCAACTGCCACGTGGAGGAGGTGCCCCCAGCTGCCCGAGACGACCGTGCAGCCCACCGGCTGTGGGAGGCCAGCAAAAGGCTGGCAGGTCTTGGGCCTGGTGAGGAGGCCGAACCTGATGAAGATCCCCACCCTGAGGACCCAGGGGCCCCATCTTCCCCGAGCAGCCCCCACCCTGAGGAGCTCACAGTTTCTGAACCCCACCCCAGCCCGCAGAGTTCACCAGACTTGTCCAAGGTCACACGCCGAATTCACGTTAAAGCTGAACCTGAGCCCTAAATCTCTTAATCCTGGGGTGCTTTCCATGGCACTCGGTGGCCCTTGAAAACCTTAACTGCATGCCAGGCCATGCCCTGGGCGCTGAGGGGTTTGCAATTTTTACCTCCATGGTTCCTTTCTGGGGCTTCAAACTGTGTTCTGAACAGCTCTTTTCCTGGTGGGAGGAAATCGTGGGTGATGATTTCTTCCTGAGAATAACAATAATCCCAGATTGAGAGGTGAGGGATAATGTGCCAGACATTACTTAGGAGGAATTTGAATTCTGTACTTCCAGCCCCCACTCTGGGTGATGCTGATGGGCTGGGCTCTGGATGAGGGCCTGGGGGGGGGGTGTAATTTGTAATTACGGCGCAACACTGAAAATTACTGAACTGGGCCCTTTGCAACCGTGTAGCCACGTGGTCAAATGACCCCCATCTGCCGAGGCAGGATTAGGTTGCAGAGGTAAGGCACTCACTGGGCCAAGGTCTCACCGCCGGTAAGGGGGTAAGCGCAGGAGCGGTGTGACTCCAGGGCCCACGGCGGTCAGGTGGGTGCGGGGAGGTGCGGCAGGGCCGTGCCGTCGTGGGGCGGGCGCCCCCCCGCCCCGGGGCTGCTGCGGGGCTGGGCCCGGGGAAAGAAAGCGGGTCGACTGCCGCGCCTCGCCTCGCGCTCGCTGCCGCCGCTGCCGCCCGCCGGCCCCGCCCTCCGCCGCCACACTTCCGGCGGGGCTGCGAGCGCGGAGGGGCGCGGGCGGGCGGCCGGCCGCTGGGGGTGGCGGGATAGGCTGGGCGCGGCCGCTGGTGCGCGCGGTGCGATCCAGGTCCCTGCGGTGCCCGCGGGCCCTCCGTCCCGCCGGCGCCATGGGCAATTGTCACACGGTGGGGCCCAACGAGGCGCTGGTGGTTTCAGGTGAGAGGGCGGCGAGGGAGGTGGGGCTGGGGCGCCGGGGCTGGGAGGGTGTTGGGGCGCGCGGGCTCTGCCCGCGAAAGGTGGTTGGGGGGGGGCTCGGGGTGGGTGCGGGGCTGGGGAGCGAGCGGGGACGGGCTAGGCCGGGGAAGGAGTGTGGAGGGGGAGGGCCGGGGTAGGGGGCGCCGGTGTTGGGCCTGAGAACCTTCCAGGAAGGCCCCCCCATTCTTAGGCTTGCGGTGCTCCGCGCCCTCGGGACTCCCCCTCCCACTGCGTGTTTTCCCGTGTTTATTCTCTCCTTTCTCCGCCCCCCTCCCTGGGCACGGTCTCCTCCCCTCTATTCCACGGTGGCCTAGGGGGTCCCGAACTGAGGCCGTAGGGAGGGGACCCGTGGTTCCCGGAACACAGCGGTTTGGCTGGATTCCAGCGCCCGGGCCTTGGGGCGGGTTTCGCAGCTTTGGAGGGCAGGTGCCTGCCTGGGGAGGGGCCCTGGTACAGGGATCCCTGTGCTCCCGTTAATTCTGAGCAGGTTGGGGCTTGCTGGGGTTTACTGGCACTGCCCGCCCCAGAGGTGCGGGTGCGGCCTCTACAGGTTGAGAAATCGGGCTCTGGGCTGTGTTGCCCCGATTGCAAAAATGCTACAGGCTCCAGAATTTCTGGGAGCTTCGGCGGGGCCGGGCGGGGACTGCTGTGTTGGGGAGGGAAGAGATACCTTTGCCTTAAGGCTGCTTTATAAATTGTATATTCGGGTATCTTGAGAGGTGGCTGAAGCCTTTGAAGCCCCCAGTTTGTGAAGCCCCTGGCTCGCAGGTGCTGGGGAGGGTGGTGTTTCCCGACAGCTTGGAGGCCTGCAGCTGCGGGAATCCTTCAGGTCTTCCCACCGTCGATGCCAATTTCCAGCCTGTGTGCAGAGTTGTTAGGACTGGCTGTAGAAGGGGGTACTCTAGACCAGGGTTTGTAGCTGCGCCTCGGGGAGGTGTGATCAATCCATTGGAAACTTTTAACCCAGAACATGGCCTGTGGCTGAGTTTGGATCTCAGAATCAGTCTGTCTCCCCAGGACAGGAAATCCCCACTCTCCCTGACCGGGGGAGAGCAGTTAAGACCAGAAGTGGCCTTGGGATTAGGAAGGAGACCCCTCAGAGAGCACTGAGGCCAGACTTGGACCTGTCCCCCAGGCCCTGATCCTAAAGACAACTTTTAGAACCCGAATCTGCACCACACTTTGTCTCTCTTGTGGAGTTTCTTTCTGGAACCCAAGACTCTGGGCTGAAGAGACAAAAGCTCCAATCCAGTCCCTGTGGAGAGCTTTGAGACTGAGGGGTGAGAGGAGCACCTGACCCTTGCTGGAAACCTGGTTTTCTGGCCAGAGGCCAGGGCAGTGCTAGCTTTGAAACTGTTTTAGGGGTGGGGAGAGGAGACTGTGCTGAGAATGGAGGATGCTGGAGTCAAGGAAGGATGGGAGGAAAGTGGGAGGGGTAGTGCCCAGCATCACAGTATCTGGGGATTTGAGGTGGTCCAGCAGAGATGCAGCTCCCTCCAGCATGGAAGTCCCCCCAGAGCGGAGCAACCACTCCCAGCCCTGACCCCACCTGGTTCCTTAAGTGGGCGTCCAAGTCCAGAGGCATCTCGTTCGGCCCAATTTGAGAAGGTGCTGATGCATCTCCTGGTCACCTTCTCCACTTGAAAAGGCTAGAAGTTTTTCTGGTTGTCGTACCTCCCTCCTTTGGTCTGTAATATAACACCTTTTTCTCTATTTCTACTGTCGGGAACTTAAAAGGGGAATCCAAACACCGTACACCTTTCTCTTGTCTCTATAGTAAGTCAGAGGTTCTTAACCTGGGGTTTGTGGGTAGAATTTAGAGGTCTGTGCATTTGGATAGGGAGAGACGTGACTTTTTATTCTCACTAAACTTAATCGGAATTTAGCATTTCTTCACATTATAAATGTCCGCCAAAACCCGTGATAGTATTAGGAGATATTTTCCTACTACACCGCAGTTTTTGTAGGTACCTTCAAAATCATTCGCACTCATTATGACTTTGAAGTTAAGCTAGTTATTAAATCTACCACTAGATTTTATTATTTAATGTTTTACTGTATCACACGTATTACCATGTGTTACATATCACACATTTGGTTATTTTAATATCCTGACAACTTTCAAGATAATTTGTTTCCTATGTATTTTATGCATTTATGAACATTCCAGCATTGCTGGACTACTAAGGGGGGGTTGTGGCTCAAAAAAGGCTAAACACCCCTGTACAGTCTGGTCTTCTGGAGGAGTGGGAAGAAGGGAGAAGAGATGCAGGAAAGGAGGGGAGTATTCCTGAGAAGGCAGAGGTCTGGGCTGGGTCTGGAGGGGCTGAGAGTGGGGCAGAGGTTATCGTGGGATGTTTTGTGATTCTTTTTTTTTTTTTTTAAGATTTTATTTATTTAGGGGTGCCTGGGTGGCTCAGATGGTTAAGCATCTGCCTTCAGCTCAGGTCATGATCCCAGGGTCCTGGGATCAAGCCCCACATCGGGCTCCTGGCTCAGCGGGGAGCCTGCTTCTCCCTCTCTGTCTGCCTCTCCCCCTGCTCGTGCTCTCTCTTCCTGTCTGTATCTCTGTGTCTCAAGTGAGTAAAAAAAAATTAAAAAAAAAAAAAAGATTTTATTTATTTATTTGAGAGAGAGAGAGCATGAGGGGAGGGGCAGATGCAGAGGCAAACTCCCCACTAAGCAGGGAGCCCGATGTGGGACTCGATCCCAAGGACCCTGGGATCATGACCTGGGCCAAAGGTAGACGCTTAACCGACTGAGCCACCCAGGCGCCCCTGTTTTGTGATTCTTCAGCTTGGGTGAAGACAGGGCAAAGGAAAGTAAGTTGGGTTAGAAAAAGTGAGATAAAACTATGAGAAACTTCCAGGTCTAAAGAGAGTGAGAGGGGCGCCTGGGTGGCTCAGTCGGTTGGGTGTCTGCCTTCAGCTCAGGTCATGATCCCAGGGTCCCGGGATCGAGTCCCACTTCAGGCTCCCTGCTCAGCGGGGAGCCTGCTTCTCCCTCTCTCTTTGCCTGACGCTCCCCCTGCTTGTGCTCTCTCTCTGTCAAATAAATAAAGTCTTTAAAAATTAAAAAATAGGGCGCCTGGGTGGCTCAGTTGGTTAAGCGACTGCCTTCGGCTCAGGTCATGATCCTGGAGTCCCTGGATCAAGTCCCGCATCGGGCTCCCTGCTCGGCAGGGAGTCTGCTTCTCCCTCTGACCCTCCTCCCTCTCATGTGCTTGCTCTCTCTCATTCTCTCTCTCTCAAATAAATAAATTAAAAAAAAAAAATCTTAAAAAACAATTTTTTTTTAAATAAATAAATAAATAGAGTGAGCGCAAGGGAGATCAAGGAAGGGGCACCTACGTGGTCTCTTTGGGGAGTGGTGCTCAGACTCAGGGTGACCAGGAATCTGGGAGGAAGATGCCTTCCAGGGGAGGAGGCTGCCGGGGGCGGGGCAGGCTGGAAGGCCCAGCTTCCTGTTGTTGCTACCCCTGGGAACCTGGCCATGTTGCCCTTGGCCAAGGCCCAGCTTAAGTGGTGACAGCCTGCTCCCAAGGACTAAGTTAAGGGTAAAGCGTGGACCGCCCCCTTCCCTACCCTCATCCCTCTCCACCACTACCACCTCCACCCCCAGCACACGGAGAAGCGCCCTGGAGCGGGCCAGAGGCAGCTGGGCCCCAGCCCTCAGTGGGCTGGACTGAAACAGGCTGTGATGAGTGACCCTCTCCATTTCTCTGGACCCCAAGATGGCTTAGGTTTCAGCTTGACTGCTTGCCCTTAGAGGCCTCCTCACCCCACTCCCCAGGGCCGAGAAGCCTGCAATAGCTTCCCTTAAGCAGCAGCCCTGTGGGCTGGTATTTCCACCACAGAGAAACGGACAGAGCTCCTCTTCCCACCCCTGCTCATAGTGCGGGGCTGCTTTTTGCTCCCTGGACTTCTGGCAAGGCTCCTTGCACACCGTGCAGGCCCTGGAGGTGGAGGGGGCTGCCCAGTGAGCCAGCTCAGATGCCAGCTCTCTGTGCCAATAGGCACTCTGCACCCCCTTCACCTCCACCTGTCCAGAACCGAGTTCTCCAGCTCCCTATTCTCTGTTGTCTCTCTTTCCCTTGTTGGCTTCCCCACCCACTCCGACCTGGTCTCCAGAGCTGCACCTATATGGTAGCCACTAGCCCCTTAAATTTAAGTTAATTAAATTAGAAATTTAGTTCTTGGGCGCCTGGGTGGCTCAGTCGGTTGGGCGTCCGCCTGAGGCTCGGGTTGTATCCTGGGGTCCCGGGATGGGCCCCACGTCAGACTTC